GTTGTGGAGCACAGTCTCCGGACGCACAGGCTCAGTGGCCATGGCTCACGGGCCCAGCCGCTCCACGGCACGTGGGATCTTCCTGGACCAGGGCACGAACCCTCATCCCCTGCATCGGCAGGCGGACTCCCAACCGCTGCGCCACCAGGGAAGCCCTAGAAATACATATACTTTTTAAAGACATATTTTTTGGGATTCACTGCTTGTTTCACGTGCTCTTTATCCTTGACCATCACTGTACTTAGTCACTGTTTTTTTGTTTGTTCATTTTTTTTTAGTCTGGTGGTTCAAAGGCATTAGGAGTCCAGCTGGTCGGGCAGGCTTCTGGTGTCCTGAGACTGTGTCACCCTGGGCGAGCACTCAGCTTCTGGGTACTAAGACTTCTAACCTGTCAGAACCAGAGTTGAGTGAGCCGGAAGGAAAACTTCCTGGATTGGTCATTAGGTGTCAGTGAGATGCTACTCTCATTAGGACCCCTCTTTCCTGGACAGTAGGAGGTGTAGCAGCGTCTGTTGGCCATCTGTGCAGAGTGTATACAGCTGCGGCTTGTGGGGCAGCTCTTTAACCCCAAGGTCCCCTCTTCGGTGCGGTGAGTTCCCAGTAGGCCATTCCACCATACCCTGGAGCCAGTTGCTTCTGAATGGTGAGGTATGTGATGGATGAGTGAATCCAGTGATCATGGGCTCGTCACCTCACTTTTACCCTGAAGCAAACTCCTTGGTCATTGTGGTGTCATGGCAGTGAATACGGCGTATGCAGCGAGTCCATAGATGGTGACGTCGGGGAGCAGACACAGTGTGTCAGTCTGGGCCCAACGAGGAGACAAAACCGTATACTAGTAATTTAAACAAGGCAAATTCAATATATTAAGGAATTACTAAGCTGTGATAGGAGAATAACTGTAAATTTATTTATTTATTAACTTATGGCTGCGTTGGGTCTTCATTGCTGCACGCAGGCTTTCTCTAGTTGCGGTGAGTGGGGTCTACTCTTTGTTGCGGTGCACGGGCTTCTCTTGTTGAGGAGCACAGGCTCTAGGTGCACAGGCTTCAGTAGTTGTGGTGCATGGGCTCAGTAGTTGTGGCTTGCAGGCTCTAGAGCGCAGGCTCAGGAGTTGTGGTGCACGGGCTTAGTTGCTCTGCGGCATGTGGGATCTTCCCAGACCAGGGCTCGAACCCGTGTCCCCTGCATTGGCAGGCATATTCTTAACCACTGCGCCTCCAGGGAAGTCCCAGAATAACTGTAAACTGGAAAGAGAACTCTATACTCTCGAGCTCAGGGATAGTACCTAAAGAAGGACACATTGGGAAGAGGACTGCTTCCCAGGGTTGGAGGTCATACCTTGTTGGAGCAGGTGTGGTTGCATCTGGATGGCCTGGGCCACAGCTAGTTTGCAGTTACTGGGCACACAGAAGCAATCTGGGGCTCAGGTGAGCTGAGACTGGTGGGTGGGCCTACAGAGGCAGCTAGGATACCCTTTCAGTGAGTCCTGGGGTGTGTGTTTTCTGTGTTGGATGGGCCACAGGAAATGCACCTCTAGGGCTCACGTGAGCCAAGGTTGGTGGGCAGGCACACGGAAAGGGTCAGGGTAGCACTGCTGGAGCTGCTTGCTGGTGCAGTAGCCCCCTTCTACAGGAACTCCTACACTTCTGTGTATCGCTTGGGCCAGGGCAGCTCTAGGGCTCTGTGTGGGACAAAGGTTGGGTAGCAGGCTCACTAGACAGCCAGCCCTGAAGGACCCCTGGTGTGTGGAGGCATGGCACCGAGGAGAGGGTGCAGCAAGCAGTAACTGAGGCTGGGGCACAGGTCCCAGCTCTCTGGGGCTCCCAGCTACGTTGCTGCTTCCCAAGTCCAGAGCTGGAGAAAGCACATAATGCCATATACCCGAGAAGCTATGCCCTGCAGATAGATACCTAACATTGGAAAATCCAGGTCATCCTTGGTGGAAGTTCATGTCGTTGAGCAGATTCATCACTCCAGTCCCTGCTGCCATGTCTCTTTGTTCGTGAGCTCACTGAGAGTTGGTGAGAGAGGCTGAGAGAGACACACAGGGCAGGTCATCTTGTCCACCTGCTTCTGCAGTGGCTGTCATTGTGGGCACTCGTGTAGGACACAGCTATCCTTGCACTCCCTGCCCATTCTCAGAGCCTTCTCTAGATCTCTTTGTCACTGATTATCCCTCCTTGTTCTTTCCAGATTCCTGACCCTCCAGCCAAACATTAACTGCTGTCAGTGAGTCGGTGTGGATTTGCCTCTCTGGCCATTTCTCCTTCCTGACCAGGGGTACAACCACGCATACTAATTGAATGTCTGCTCACTGGCTGGATCTCACCTCCTCATCGGAGCCTTCAGGACCATCTCTGAGTGCAGCATCTTGCTGCAGCCATCCACTGCTGACTAGTGCCAGGACATCATTTACCACTCTCTGTACACGGACTTAAATTTTTCTTCCTTCGTTACTGATCATAAGGAACTCACCAGGAGGCCATAGGTGTAGTTTGTTTGTTTGTTTTAATTGGTTTATTTATTTATTTATTTTTGGCTGCATTGGGTCTTTATTGCTGCGCACAGGCTTTTCTGCAGTTGCGGCGGGCGGGGGCTACTCTTCGTTGCGGTGCGCGGGCTTCTCATTGCAGTGGCTTCTCTTGTTGCGGAGCTTGGGCTCTAGGCAATGGGCTTCAGTAGTTGTGGCACGCAGGCTCAGTAGTTGTGGCTTGCGGCCTCTAGAGTGCCGGCTCAGTAGTTGTGGCACATGGGCTTAGTTGCTCCGCGGCATGTGGGATCTTCCCGGACCAGGGCTCGAGCCCATGTCTCCTGCACTGGCAGGGCGGATTCTTAACCACTGCGCCACCAGGGAAGCCCTAGGTGTAGTTTTTAAAGAAGTTGCAGTGTAGCAACTTGATTGTGCAATATACATGTGATTTCAGGATCTTCTTGCATAAGTTATCCTGATGGGAAGTTCAGGTAACTCTCATGTCAGGCAGTCAACCTTTTCCTATCTGCTGCCATCACTTTGAAAACCATTAGGTGTGATGGATGATAAGCCCAAGAAGACTGAAGGGTCTTCTTCTGCTTGTTCATTCCGTGGACATTGCCTGCCCTGTGAGCGATGTTATGGAAGGTGTTAGTAGAAGGAATGTGATTGGGACAAACTCTCTGGTCTCAAGGAGTGTGCCGTCAATTCACTGGGGGAGAGAGAGGCAGGCACACCTAGTGAGAAAGTTGTGTGAGCAGACAGAGGATATTACTAATTGATAAGACTGGGAGAGAATGGGAGTCAAATGAGTCAGGTTTTAAAGAGAAGATGATGCATGAATTATATTGAAAGATGAGAGCCATTATCCAGGTGGGTCATGAGAGGAGGAAGCCCTCCCTGACCCTCCCAGGAAGTAGACCAGCAGAGGCAGTTAATCACAATGTTGTGAATTCAGGTCCTGGATTCAGACTGCCTGGATTTTTTTTTTTTTAAAGCAGATATTCATTTTTAATTTTTATTTATTTATTGATGGATGGATGGATGGATGGCTGTGTTGTGTCTTCGTTTCTGTGCAAGGGCTTTCTCCAGTTGCGGCAAGCGGGGGCCACTCTTTTTTTTTTTTTTTTTTGCGGTACACGGTCCCCTCACCGCCGTGGCCTCTCCCGCCGCGGAGCCTGTGCTCCAGCCGCTCCGCGGCACGTGGGATCCTCCCGGACCGGGGCACGAACCCGTGTCCCCTGCATCGGCAGGCAGATTCTCAACCACTGCGCCACCAGGGAAGCCCCTGGACTGCCTGGATTTGAATCCTAGCTCTGTGATGTTAGGTGCGGTTACTTTATGGTCCTGTTACTAAGCTTTAAGGACTTTAGAGTGAGGTAATAGTGCCTCCCTTTGAAGTCCTTGTAACAGTTAGGGGAGGAAGCCGCTGAGTGCGTTTAGCACAGTGCCTGGCACTTAGCTGTGTGGCCTGATGAGTCATCTCCTCTTCTTCTGGCTTTCATTTTCCTGGAACAGTTCATTCCCATGCCATTTTCCCAAGGGCCAGAGGATAGATTGGTCTTTGGAGCCGTCTCCAGCACCTTGTACATCTTCAGTAAATACTGCCTGTACTGCACAGAAGAAGTAGGAGTGTAGGAGAAGGGGGTTGTTTTCTAACCCTGAGGTTTATTTCTGTGAGTGTATTTCTGGTGATGTGCTTTGTTTGCATTTACCTTTTCTTGCATTCACCACAGACCATTAGGTGCGAACAGACACTGGGTGATTGCTTGGCAGCCCGTTTTGCACCATTATGATTGCTCTTCAACGGGATGTGGCCCAGACCTTTCAGGCACGGGTTTGAGTGGGTAGTGCTCAGTCCTAGAGCCCCAGCCCCTTACCACGTGCTTCCAGAAGAGCCAGCCTCTCTGAGGGGGTGCTTCCAGGACTCTCAGCTCATGATCATCTAGTTTCTTTTCACTTAGAGAAACGTAAACGCAGTGAATATTTTTAAAAGTTAATTGTATCTTAACTCCCAAAACAGAGTAATTAAAAATGTATGTATCTTGAGAGAATATGAATACAGTGCCTAGGTGGAATGTTTTTGAGCTCTCTGGTTCACAATGATTTTTTTTTTTTTTAATTGGCCACACTGTGCGGCTTGTGGCATCTCAGTTCCCTGACCAGGTATTGAACCCAGGCCCTCAGTAGTGACAGCCGTCTCCATCTTGGAGCTGAAGTGACAGGGAGTCCCCTGGTTCACAGTCATTTTTCAGAATTCAGTCTGACAGTCTTTGGTCAGATGGCAGTGACCTCCCCCTCGAGGAGCAGACCTCTGTGCTCCTGTGTGACGCCAGCTAACACGTGGTGTTCCTTCACTGTGTACCAGGTAGGGGCTCTGAGCACCTCACCTGCGTTCACTCACTCACTCCTCATGGCAGGCCTGTGAGGCAGGTGTTTGAAGATGAGGAAGCTGAGACAAAAGGTTAAGTAACACCCATGTTGACGTGCTAGTAAGTGAAACCGGGCAGTCTGGCCTTAGAGCGGGCATTCTTTTTTTTTTTTTAATATATTTATTTATTTTTATTTTTGGCTGCGTTGGGCCTTCGTTGCTGTGCGCAGGCTTTCTCTGGTTGCGGCGAGCGGGGGCTCCTCTTCATTGTGGTGCGCAGACTTCTCATTGCAGTGGCTTTTCTTGTTGCAGAGCACGGGCTCTAGGTGTGCGGGCTCAGTAGTTTTGGCTCTCGGGCTCTAGAGCACAGGCTCAGTAGTTGTGGCACACGGGCTTAGTTGCTCTGCGGCATGTGGGATCTTCCTGGACCAGGGCTCAAACCTGTATCCCTTGCATTGGCAGGCAACTTAACCACTGCATCACCAGGGAAGTCCCACTTGAAGCTTTTTGTAAGTTTTTTTTTTTTTTTTGGCCATGCCTTGTGGCTTGTGGGATCTTAGTTCGCCGACCAGGGATTGAACCCGTGCCCTTGACAGTGGGAGCACAGAGTCCTAACCAGTGGACCACCAGGGAACTCCCTACTTGAAGCTTTTGACTTGGACATGTGTGGTAGTGGTGTGATGCTGACTCCTTATTCTGAGTAAGGCTGAGTCCTAGGTGTGTATGGGGCCCCTGAGTCTTGGGGTACAGCCCTCTCAGCTCTCCTGCCCTTCCTTGGCGGTAGTTGTGGGCTCACTGTGTAATCTTGCCCATTCTCCAGGAGTACTTCCCCCAGTCCCCTTTTTCCTTTCCCAGCTTGCAGTGAGTGTTCACCAACGCCTTCTTTCCCTGTATGATCTGCACAGGGAAGGGCTTTTTCCTTTGTGGGTTTAGTGGATATGGAGAAGGATGGGGTGGCATTGCTTGCCCTTCACACATGGCTACTGCTCCCCTCCCCAGTTCTGCACCGCCCTCGATGCTTCTTAGGGCTCTTGCAGATCTTCCCAGCGACCATCCGGGGGGTTTCATAGGGAGGTTGCAGAAGGGTACAGACTCCCAACTTCTGTTACCCCAGACATTGTCCTGCCAGCCTGCACCCAGCCTTCACCAACATGTCATGTGTTCTCAATGAACTCTTCTTACCAGTGTGTGGTTGCATCTGCCTTGGCTGAGTGTGTGTTCTCTTTTCTTGCAGGCACTTAGGTATTGGGCAGTTTGCTCTGTGATACTAGTTTCCTGATAGGTTCCCAAAAAAGTCATGGATTTGCAGGTAGGCTGGTTGGTTTTTATTGTACAGGTGGGAGCAGTGCTCTTCCCGGCCGTCTCCATCCTGGAGTTGAAGCCAAAGGAACCATGTCTTGAGAAACAGATATCTTTAAGTTTGATGAAGTCCAGTTTATCAAGTATGCTTAGTGCTTTAGGGGTCCCCCAAAATTTCTCTACCCCAAGGTTGAAATCTTGTCTAATTTAAGTAGAAAAAATGTTTGTCTACTCTGAGATTAGGAAGATTTTATTCTTTGTTTTCTTATTGAAGTTTTATAATTTTAGCTTTCATGTGTAAGTCTGTTATCCATTTCAAGTTAGTTGTTATGTATGGTATGTGTGGTAAGGTTGGAGGTGTCCCCCCCAGATGGATATCCAGTTGTGTATCAGTTATTGGGAAGCCTCTCCTTTCCCCATGGGATTACCTTGTTCCTTTGTCAAATATTTATTTCTCTTTTTTCAAAACTTTTTTATTGTTAAATATCATAAAAGTGAATACAAAAATTTACAGCTCTGCAGATCATTTTAATTTGATCCGTGGTATAAGCACCATTCAGATAAAGAAATAGAACATTTTGGGGACTCCAAAAGCCCACGAAGGCTACATCCTGATTACAGTTCCCTTTCTTTCCTTTCATGGATAGCTGCTAAACATACATTCCCAAGCACTATAGGGATTTTTTGTCTTTGTTTTTGAACTTTACATAAATGGAAGCTTACTACATGTAGTCTTTGGCGTATAGCTCCTTTTACTCAGTATTTTTAACATTTGTTTTGAACAGATCTACAGTTTGTCCATTTTAATTGCTGAATAGTATTTCACTGTATGAATAGACCACAATTTATCTGGGTTCTTTCCAGTTTGGAGCTCGTATGAATAATCTTGTACATGTATTTTGGCTCATGTAAGACTTCATATCAGGAAGGATATATATTTAGAAGAGAAATTACTGGGTCATAGTGTATGTGTGTTTTCAGTCTTAATATAATGCTTATTTGCTAGCATGGTTATACATATTTCCACTCCACCAGCAGTTTGTAAGTTCCCATTGTTTCATATTTTTGACTAAATATGGTTTTGTCACAGTTTCTCATTTTAGCCACTCTGCTCGGTTTATGGTGGTGATTCACTGTAAATATTACCTTTCCATATGTTTAAACAAGGTTTTTGGTTTTTTAAATAACTTTATTTATTTATTTATTTTTGGCTGCATTGGGTCTTTGTTGTTGAGCGCGGGCTTTCTCTAGTTGCGGCTAGTGGGGGCTGCTCTTTGCTGTGGTGTGCGGGCTTCTCATCGTGGTGGCTTCTCTTGTTGTGGAGCACAGTCTCTAGGCACGCAGGCTT